TAAACAAATGTGCAGCAATAAGCGATATTTTGAGTTCAATCAGTTTGTACTATTGAAGCAGACAATCTAGAAAATCTTATTTGATGCCCTAAAATACTTTTCTAGCACTTACTGGATTCTTAAAAGTTTAATGTCGATGAGTCTCTGTCTGTCGACCATCGTATACTCAACTGTATCTCTATGATCACATTCGTATTTATATGGTCTTCGAGTCCAAGCACTTTCTGAAACAGCGGACTAATCAACGAACGTGAAAAGTCGGCTAGTAAAAGATTCTTTTCTCAAACTAGAACACATAGAACATCAAGTTTACATCTGTATATCTCAGTCAGTTATACAAATTGACGATTAACAAAATCTAGCGTCTAACAAATATCAAAAGACAATTAGTCAGGCAAAACCTTGAACCTTCCTCATGAGCGATGATCGAGCATTTCACCACACCATTTCATATAAATGTTGGAATGAAACTGAAAACTTGTATGCAGAGGTAGTCTATGTTAAAACGTGCATTCATTAAAACTGATGGATTTTCATTTTAAACGTATTTAGTTATCTATTTTTATTTTCAATAATTCAGAGGAATTTTTCGCTGCCAGATGGTCCCTTGATCAGAATAACGGTAAATAAATATCCATATCCATATCTTTATGTTGTATTTTTAAATAAACACTTCACAACTTATGTCATACACATTTGGAGTCCATTGTTTCGATGTAGAATTTAAAAGTACACGTAAGTCAACCAATATGAAACCTGCACACGTACATCTTCATGGGTTGTGATCGTTCAATGTTTGTGCCATTCAGGCCTCGGAAAATGGATAAGTAAAACGTTGTTACTTTTCTAGTAAACGAAAGTTGAACCAAATATAAGATCCATTTACCGTTTGATCACGTTAATTGAGACTTGATACTCAGTTGACATCGACTGGGAAAATTAAATATGACGTGTAAAATATTGATATTCATTGCTTGTTTGAAAACCTGTTCAGAGATTCATTTTCGTTAAAATGCTTCGATGAAACTTGAAGATAAATCATTGCTTCCAGAAAAAAATGAATCGTGTTTCTTGCTTGTCACAAAGCCAATCCTGTGCACATCATATTCATCTACACTTCCATTCATTACATAATCATTCCTATATATCATATATATTCTTTTACATTGAGTTGTTGAGATTACACATTTAAATCTATTCGTCTCTCATCTACAACAAACAAACACCGTGGTCAGAGTTGGTTGATCGATTTAAATATCCACATGTTAGATAAACAATGAGATTCTCAAGTTGAGTTTGTAAATAAACGCTCCATAACTCATGTCATACATATTTGGAGTCCATTGTTACAAGGAAAGTTATATAGAATATTGCTTACGTGCGAATATCTTTGCAGTATTAGACCTTCAATGATTCAATAGTAATACAACAGTAATACATGCGAATACACGCGAATAAGTATGCAGTATTAAACCTTCAATGATTCAGTAGTAATACAGATTCAGAAATTAGGCATTCAACACTAGTTTAGAAGAATGCATGCTCATTTCATCCACATGAAGCTTACTTCAATGTTTTGACTGCGAAACCAACTTAAGAAAGCATTTTACACAACTCAATAATTATCCATTAACTTTGATCACTTTGTGAGTGAGCATATACTGTGTTATGCCTAGATTTCAAATTGTGAGTATCGTTGTCCTTTTAATTGTAGAGACTACAACCATAGTAACTAATCTGATATATGCAAATGGGAAGATATCTGTCTATTACGATAACGTGAGTTACAAAATTGAATGTACATATAGTTTTGCTTCAATTACTTGAGTTCAATCTACATTGAACACGATAGAAAACGATCAACATCTGATATGTGAACAAACTATTTGACTATGTAATTATTCTTCTAATATTACAAATCACTCTAGCACTTGGTAAAAATATGAATGACTTGATGTGAAATGATATCAGTCGCAACAGTGAAATGTTCATGCCAAATGGTACCAACTAGTGTATGTCTGGATAATGTATGTAATGTATCGTATTCTGTCAGACTGCATTTCATCTTCAAATGGTCGACTTTTCGAAACAATCATTGATTTATATTCGCAGAACAGCTTCCTTGAAACTATTAACAATCACATTTCACTACAACTGACGTAGATTTTCATCTCACAATGTGTCATCATATTTCATGGTAGACTGATAAGTCGTCAAACTTGACTGAATTCGACAACTGGTGTGATTAAGAATACCTATGTACACCAGATGGAACACACTTTCAAAGAAAATGAGAATATCAATATACGTAATATAATTGTGGTTAAGATTATTTTAAAGAAGACCCATTTCTATAATGATCAATTTGTTTTGATCTACGAGGTAGTGTGCTGACAAATCCTCGTTCCATGTTTCTTTCAGATTCTTTCGGAAATTAGCGAAGACCAGATATCAGGAATCCGAGGAATCTTTCAATGTGAAACAGGTAGGAAACTTTGCAAGGAATGATGTTAACAGTTTGGTGTACGGTGACTTTGAACATCAATCATTTGTTTGCTGAGGCTCATATAACGGGCTATCTGGGTTAAAGTAACTAAGGTGTATGAATGTTTTTTATCGCAAAAGTTTGGGTTGGTAATAAGAGAGGTTTTATACTTGTGGAGACCAATCAACTGAATGAGGCAGGGATATGTGAACGACGAAAATTATCGACTTGTTTTTCACGCGATTACTCACAATACGACAGTCACACTTGCCGTTCTCATTCATATCACCACCCAATGCATAACGAAGTGTGTGTTATGTATGAAAGTGATGGATAATTGGCATCTGAAGCTATTTTTTCTTCACATAATGCTCAATCCTATGTCTTGTTGAAAGATGAAGCTGAGTTTCAAGCTGAGTGAATGAGCGGAAGACAGTGTTTCATGATCACATGTGAGAAAATGCACCAAATATTTGGTCAAGTGATATATATCGCTCGGTTGAAATGCATTACTGAGTGATTAAAAATGATGAAAATTTTCATTTCTATATTTCTCGTTTGAATTCTCTCCCCTGCCTCTTGTTGATTCGTGCGCTTTCTGTGATGATTTCTTCGACGCTGTAGGCAAAGATGAATGGTGGTTGGCAGTGGATTCCATTGCCGTCATAAATATCGAAGGGAAGATTGTGATAACAGAGCAGGAATGAAATAACTTTTCACGTTTCATACAAACCAGTGGGTATTTGAACTGAATGGTCCAACGTCGAGATGCATGAATATCCAGCTGCGACATTTTAAATAAAAAGGAACTCTAGTCGTCATTCCTTTTTCATTTGGTGCTCTATGTTGTTTATTTGTGGGCTGAAACGTGAAAAAATGTTTAAAGGGTTGAACTTGAATTTTTCTGTTGTTGCTCATAAAGGAAATCTAAATGTTAGGTTTTTTCTGTTCAATTTGTCACACAAGGTAACACAGAACATGAGATAGCTGTACCTGAAGAATTGATCAAAAATGGCACTTTAGTGGAGTACGAAGTCATCGGCAGTATGTTAAACCTTATTTATCATCATTTACTATTTTCACACTTGAATCCATCCTTTTTATTTCAACACGCTGAAAATTTCATTTGTAACTGCAGTCAGCTAATAAATCGCATCCATGCATCCGTCTCAAAATACGTTTCACTTACCATTGGTAACTACACATCAATTCACTTTTAAATATCAACAATGATAAGGTATCCATTTTGAACGATTATTGAAGTCTTGTGGACGAACTCACAAAACGATGTATGAGTTGACAGTAATCTGGATAAAGATTAAGTGACAGTTATTTGATTGTGGATTAACCAGGAAGCTTCTGTTTTTCCTTTTTGGTACATGTGATATCGAATTTTTCTGGGGTATCGAAATCACAAGAACACTGCATGTGGTTGCGATTAACATCAAAAAGGTTGCCTACTTTCTGAAATCTCTGCTTTGTCATACATATCCGAAAAGTGAAGATGAAGAAATGTCACGTCACCGAACTTATATTAATCATAGACAGTCTCGGAATTATTGATGTATTTAACAAAAGGAAATTGAGAGTGAACACTCAGTAAATTAAAACTGATTTCAGTTCGCAATGCTTAAGACAACCGAAATAAGATTTCCACCACTGTTAGCGTCATTCCATTAACCAATGATCAAATCGCCTTCATATTCATCGAATACAATATTATCTTCATCATCGACAAATTTTCTTTGATCCGACTAGTCGGTTGCATTAATCGACAGCACACAGACTAGAATGCGACCACATACTTTGATATGTTTTCTCATAGTAGAACAACTAAACATTTTTCAGGAAGAAACGGCAATGATGATTGAAAAACAATGTCTATCATTATTTAATGTTCAACTGAATCACCATGATTGAATTGGATTTTTAGTCTAAGAACAACTGAATTTCCAGCACTGCTTTCGTGAAAAGAAACTGTGCACTGATGAAGCATAGTATGCAGTAGGCTTTGCTGAACCCAATGTAAGCATCGTGTAGGCGTGTCCAAACGTGAACAGTCATTGAAATCTGTCAAGTTCGCCAGTCGGAATTCATCGTTCAAACTTGACATTCAAACTTATTTCATTCAATCCAAACATGTCGTTGTGAAACATTATTGAAATTGAATGTATAATGACAATTGCATTATGTATTGTGATAACAAATATCCAGTGGATGAAATACTCACTTAACACTGAAATCACTATCATGACATTGAGTTATAGTTGCATGTATTGTAATTCTCTTTACTTGTTTAAAAATTCGAATTGTAGTATCAACTAATTACTTTTACAGCAATTTGTCCAATACAAAATTCAAGTGAAGCATGCCAAAATGCAACAACACTGAGTATAACATGTATTTGGTGTGAGAAATGGAACACGTGCATTGACAGTAATCATCAGGATCATCATTTCTTTAAAGTGAATGGTTGCCATTATAAGGTATGTGCTTGTTTAACTGATTGTCGAATCGGTGGTAGATGTTTTGAATGATTGTACAAATGCACATTTTGTTACTGTGTGGTTAATTGTGTTTTATCACCCGTATTGACAGTAATGCATAATGAATTATTCAAAAATTATTACATGTTTTGTAATAAATGCTACTGTTTTGTTTTCTCAAAAGAGCCCGGATGTAAACGATGTGAGTACATTGACATCCATCAATCACAAAGCAACAACATTTGGAGTCCGTGAAGTTCAGGTTGATAGAAGCCTCAAGGAAACTACCAATGGAACTGACCAATACTCGGTAAATATTTGAAATTTAGTGATAAATGCTACTTTCTTGTTTATTCATAAGAGCCCGGATGTTGTCGAATCGCCAACGTCGACACCCATCAATCACAAAGCAACAACATTGTGGATCCCTGAAAATGAGGTTGGTGGAAACCTCAATGAAACTACCGAACAAACTGATCAATACTCGGTAAATATTTGAAATTTAGTGATAAATGCTACTTTTTTGTTTATTCATAAGAGCCCGGATGTTGTCGAATCGCCAACGTCGACACCCATCAATCACAAAGCAACAACATTGTGGATCCCTGAAAATGAGGTTGGTGGAAACCTCAATGAAACTACCGAACAAACTGATCAATACTCGGTAAATATTTGAAATTTAGTGATAAATGCTAATTTTTTGTTTATTCATAAGAGCCCGGATGTTGTCGATTCGCCAACGTCGACACCCATCAATCACAAAGCAACAAAATTGTGGATCCCTGAAAATGAGGTTGGTGGAAACCTCAATGAAACTACCGAACAAACTGATCAATACTCGGTAATTTTTTGAAATTTAGTAATGAATGCTACTGTTTTATTTTTTTAGTGTACGACTACTGAAATAAATCAAGAAAGTAGACAGACCGAATCGCTTTGGTACCTGTTTATAATAATTCCCCTGATCATCTTTATCGCTGCATCTACCGGATATGTTACCTGGAAACATTTGCATAAATGAAAGAGAAGTAGTGAATGATTTTCACCAAAGTCATATAATTAGATTCAAATATTCTGACCAAGTTTTTTTTCTTATTTGTATTTCAATAAACAGTTTTGAATTTATTTATTTATTTTAATGGTTTGAACTATTCTTCACGGAACAATGTACATTTTGTGCTTGTTTATGTTATAACTGATGTATTCTTTGTAATAAAATACCAAACACGGTTTTTATTATTTGCGTCATTCTCTTTATACCATAGAAACTGACTTGTTTTACGAGAGTTTGACAACATTTTGTTCTTGAATTAGTAGGATTGCGTTTACGTGAATTTGTGATTATATAAATCATCAATAATGACGTTGGAAATTTTTCGTCAATATGACGTCGGACTACTGAAAAATATCATTTGAGATTGACGACGGTCATGATTGCAAATTGATCTTTCAAAACACCTCATCATTACATAATTAGGCACGTTCACCCGTCCTCACTTCATTATTCATTGTTCAGCAAATGCTGAGTGACAAACTAAGGTTAACTCGCTATTATCTAAAGTGATTGTGATTCTTTCGAAGTTTCCACTGTTGATGGATGCAGTATACAGCCAATAGTTACATTCAAAGCTTATTCCTCTAATAGACCTGAAGTGGAATTTTCTTTCTCAGCCTCACAAAAGATTCTGATACTTTGATTAAAGTGGTTAGTTGCGTGTGTTGAGTGCTGTCGGTTGACAAAAATTCAGCTTTGCTCATTGAATCCCAGGCTTCTGGAGCTCACAAATTCCACGGTTGTCACTGAACATGTTTCCATTCAACTTCATTGTTCTAAAGTGTGCCGTGTGGCTCATTTGAAAGATGTTTGTCTGTGAACTCTAGAAGATAAACTTCATAAGCTTTCACAAAGATTGCCACTCCTTGTGATCTGTGGAAACAGCTATTTTCAATACTTTTCATGTTGTTACGCAGGCATATTTCACGAATGCACGGCGAGCGCTGTATGATAAGTTACAGGTGTTGAGGTTTGCAAAAATGATTTCAGTATTAAATATAGTTTGACTAGAGACTCACTGCTGCTTTAGGTTATCTGCTTGAGATGAAATGTCGTAAATCGAAGTTGGGGTTCACTTTGCGTACTTCTTTTCGAAACGTTGGGAAATTTTGTTGACCGTCATGATTCTAAACTCGATACACAGTAACCAGCTCCAGTTATAAATTACCCATCTCCCTAATCGTCAACAGATTTACACTCGGACAAGTTTTCTTCAACATTGTTACTGATTTGTTCCCAATTTTCAACACTGTTTCGAATGGTAATGGTGGCCTCAAAGTAAAAAATCAACTTTCTCTTTCTCGGTTAACGCGATGGAACACCAAAAAATACAGATATCCGCTTAATCATGAGTAGTGACTGTTGAAACATCTCAAAGCTTTACAGTAGTAATCATGTGCATGGTTAGATTAACTTAAATAAATACATGAGTGATCACTTCAAAAACCTACTTCATTCAAACATCTACAAACCAGTGGACGACAACTTTCTTTAGGGTTGCTTCAGCTCTTCTATCATCTGAACACGTGTTGATGAATTGGCTTGACATTTAAGATGTTCCCTTCTTCTCCTGATTTATTTTATGAATACAGTGTGACGTTCACCTAAAATCAATATTCAAAAAGTCTCCATTTCATGTCTAGATATTTCGGTGTGACTAATGAATTCACAAGCTTTTGAAAACAAACTAGCTGATACCTAGAGGAAAGCACAAGCATCCACTTAGCTGACAGTTAGACAATAATTATTGATCACACTAAATATTTAAAGTGTAAGGAAGCGGACAAATTGATTTTTCCAAAATGTATTACGAACGTTTTGTGATCTAGGAAATTTTTGATTCAATCACTTTCGACATAATGACCACATATTTCTTCAAAACTGTAATCTTACATCAAACAGACATTTCAGTTTCATTAGTTTTCATAAGTTTTACAAATTAGTCGAACAGAAAATCTAAACGCCATCATGAAATCTATTACCAGACCATATCTAAATATCAGATTTAACACGTTATTGTTGATTGATTGATTGATTGATTGATAGTTTGTTTGATTGTTATTAAACAACATTCAACTACGTGAAATCAGATGACTTTTGGGTGAACGCTAAAATCAAATGCCCTTTCTAACAAAAAGAAAAACAATTTATGTAGGCACACAGAATGTTCCAAGAATGTGAGAGACCGGAAAGACAAATCAAATTACCACAAAAATGAACAGATACAACATAGCAGAGATCGGATGGAGTGAAACCCATTGAAACCAAGCTGGACAGAACAGAACAGATTCCGGAGAGATGCTGCTGAACTTTGGTAGCGAGAAAGGAGATGTTGCGCACACACAAAAATCTTATCTGTGGCAGTTCCCAAAAGCACGAAAATCGCCTATGGGCAGCAGCACACGCAGAGCTCACTATAGATGTCAATATATTATTGATCGAGGAAATCAAGATGACGATCAGACAAAACAAGTGTGGATAAGCAGCAGTACCAGTAAATATATCACCTGAAGCACAAACATCAGGTACAGGAGCAATCGCAAAAATACTGCACGTTCTATTCAAGAAGATTTGGGAGATGGAACAAGTTCCGACAGACTGAAAGGAGACTTTAGAAAGGAGATATGGGCAAATGCCAGAAATATGGATGCACATACTACAATATATAACAGTATACATTTTCAACATAGTGTTTTTGAACCAGATAAAAGACATGGTAGACTCCAATCTTCAAAATCAACAGACCGTATTCCGAAAGGATGGGTCCTGAACAGACCGAATCGCGACACTACATACCATCATTGGATAGTCAATTGAATGGAACTTGTCAGTAAACGTCAAATTCATCGACTACGAGGTGGCGTTTGACAATGTGGATGGTAAAACATTATAGAAACTTCTTCGACACTATGGGGTACGTGAGAAAAGCGTTGACATCAACCGGAATTCATACCACAGACTACACTGCAAAGTCGTGCACCGATATCAAAGTCACAAACTTCAATGCGAACGTCAAGGCAGTCCCTTTGCATGAGGCCAAAACTTAGAGAACTACCATCATCATAATCAAAAACGTACAGGTATCTGTAAACAATTGTCTACGCAAGATGCTCAATGTCTGTTGACCAAATATTATCAGCAATAGCCTACAGTGGGAGAGAACAAACCAACTTTCAGCAAACGAGAAAACTGGAAAAAGTCACCGAAGGTGAATAGAACGTTTATCGCTGAAATCATCAAACAGCACCACAAAGCAACTATTAACTTGGAATATTGAAGGGAAACGGCGAAGATACAGGTCAAAGAACACACTGCGTCGTGAACAGGAATCGAACATCAAGCGCATGAATAGTTACTGGAAAGAACGGGAAAGGGTTGTCCAGGACAGTGCTCGATGTTGGATGATGTTGAGAGGCTGATTGTCCTCCATGAGTGAAAACTGGCGTAAGTAAGTAGGTTCTTACAAATCTGGTCGGTTAAAATGAAATTTATCAACAAATAACCGTTTGCTTGAACTTTGGTTTGTTAAATAAACGTTATTTGTAATACGGTTGTTTCCAACTTAAAACCCCATATCCACATGTACGTAGCTACCAATCGATGGTTCATGATATATAGAAATAGATAGTGGATTTTCCTTACGTGAATGATTCCATGATTTGTTATAGTTATGTGAAAACAGACTCGTATTAGATAGAGACGATGTGACAAGAATATCACGTATTTTGTAAAATTATCAAAACCATCACAGCCTAAATAGGATTTCAAATTTCAGTAATGGATTGTATTTTTTCTTAGGTTTGTCGTGTACTTGTCCAGCTACATACTGGATGTAGACTCTGTATGAAATAGAATTCACTCATTAGTATTAAGATTACCAATCAAAAAATGGAACAGACTCACCTGGTTTCTGGAAGCGTATTTGAATTATATGCCAGTAAGTATTGTTAAATCATTGATATCTACAATTCAAAGCAAAGATTATCCAACACTGTCCACTTCGACGAAATAAAATTGGATCTTCACAAACTCAACTAATGAATATTATCGATATATTCATATCATATTTTTCATATTCACAAGAAGATTTAACAAAATTGAATGGCCGGCGGTTCAATCGAGTTGGTGGATATGGAGGATCAACGTAGAGTAGTTGGAAAACCCTGATTTACAATGTTCCTGTCAATATGAAAAATATGTTTTGAATAAATCTATATTACTCATCAGCTGAGTTTGTAACATTGGATATAAAACCATCCGACCTGTTTTACGGTTGAAATAAATTTTGAACCTGTTTACATTTATCACATTCTCTATATCAGAGGCCCCCGAACGCCCTGATACAGCCGAGGGTGGGGAGATTCAGCTCTTCCTGTCCAAATGCTCTCACATGACCACGTGCGCACAACCACTGCCAGGGAAATCATACTTACTGACTTCTTGCGGCGTGACGAAGACAAAATATGAATGGCTTGCGGTTTAACGGGGCCGATGGATATGGAGACTCCGCATAAAATAGTGGGAAAACCCTGATTCCAAACCAATGGTGCATATAGACTCCGTGATCCTGAGAGAATAAATGACGTGTGGACCAATTATTTATCAGCGGCCAGCCTGCATCTCCTGACGTTACCCGACCTCCTTCGGTATCGCACCTTTAGATCGAATGCTCCCGATGTGGCCGTCTAAGAAAACCATCTGTTGCGATTTTGGGACGCCGAGATCTCCCCATCCCACACTCAGATCTTCTGATCTCTTCAGCGTATATATACATTCGATGCCGCCATGCAACAATGTTAATGTGCTGAAATAAATAAATAAATATCAGCCTACCCACCAAAAAACAAACATCGTGAGTACAGGTAGCATTTATTACATCTCCACAATCTAATTCCGAAGAATCCCTCGATGACATTTTTCTCATTCCAGCACTCGAAATTAGTACAACATACATGAGAGTTTCGTAAAAATTCGAAACAGGCTCGTCTGTTTATGCTGAAGATTCTAGTTGGTTGCAAAGTACAACCATTCCATACATTCATCGGGAGCTTCAGAATTCGAATGTGGAAAACCTGTATGCCACGTGTATTTTGACTGTTTTTGACTTTTCTACACGCTTACTATATTCCCTGAGACATAAAGATCCAGTGGGAATCAAAATAGAAGTTACTTTGGGTCCAAAATCAT